AGCTCCCTGCTAATGCACCTGGGAGAGCAGCACAGGATGGCCCAAGTGCTTGGGCCCCTGCACCCATATTGGAGACCCAGATGAAACTCCTGGCTTCAGCCTGGCCTAGCCCTGGTTGTTGCAGCCATTTGGGGAGTAACCAGGGGATGGAAGATGTCTCTCTCCCCTCTCTCTCTCTCTCTCTGTAATTTTGCCTTTCAAATAAGGAAGGAAGGAAGGAAGGAAGGAAGGAAGGAAGGAAGGAAGGAAGGAAGGAAGGGAGGGAGGGAGGGAGGGAGGGAGGGAGGGAGGGAGGGAGGGAGGGAGGAAACTAAGAAACTAAGAAGCCATAAATCCACTTAATACTACTATCATTCACCGGCATTTCTCTATCTTTTCTAAAGAATCATGTGAAATTGCCAGGTGTTTTGCTGAAACTCAATTCAAGTGCCTTACAAGCACAAACAAGAGGCCAACACTAGACTATGAACGTTAGTGAGCCATGAACCTTGCTCTCAAGAAGCTCCTCATTTCACAAGAGATAAACTCTATCTGGCAATCCTCCAGTCTACCAGAATAGTAATCCCATAAAAATGAGTCATCCTATATTTCATCTTCTTACTCTTAGCTATATCCTGTTGTAAAATTAAGATACATCTTTTCTCCCATGGTGTTTACAAGTTTCAAATATTTATAGACTTATGTCTTTACTTCACTGTCTCTCAGCCAAGATGAATATATTTAGCTCTCTTTCTCCTTTCCTTTTAAAGCAATTCCTCAACATCAGTCATCTTTTTGGAGACTTTATTTAAATTCTCTATTTCTGTATTGAATTCTAGGATCTAAATGACAGAATCCAAACACTATTCTAGATATGAAATCAATCATAATGAAAAACATAAATCTTCTTGATGAAATAATGCTTTTGTGTGTGTGTGTGAAGTCCCAAACACTAGCTGTATTTACTTTTTTTAAAAAAGATTTATTTATTTATTTGAAAGCAGCATTACAGAGAGGCAGAGGTGGGGGGGAATCTTCCATCCACTGGCTCACTCCCCAGTTGGCCGCAACGGTCGGAGCTGTGCCAATCCGAAGCCAGGAGCCAGGAGCCTCCTCCAGGTCTCCCATGTGGGTGCAGGGGCCCAAGGACTTGGGCCATCTTCTATTGCTTTCCCAGGCCATAGCAGAGAGCTGGCTCAGAAGTGGAGCAGCCAAGACACAAACCAGCACCCATATGGGATGCTTGCATTGCATTTATTTTTAATTTTTTTCCTTACATCATTACTCTACAAACAGCAGGGAGCTGGATCATTACCCTAACACCTTTGATCAAATGGATTATCCAGTTTTCTCCCATCAAACAAAGACTAACAAACAGCATAAGGGCAGATTTCTTTTTGTTTTTTAATTTAAGATTTTTCTTTTTAAATTTATTTGAATAGCAGAGTAACAGAGAGAGAGAGAGGGGGACAGAGATGCTCCATCCACTGGTTCAGTCCCCAAATGGCGGCAGTGGCCAGGACTAGCAGCAGGAGCCCAAGCACTTGGGCCATCTTCCACTGCCTTCCTAGGTGCATTAGCAGGAAGGTAGATTGGAAGTGGAGCAGCCAGGACTGGAATCAGTACTCTGATATGGGATGTACCCATCAACTTAACCCATTGCACCACAAAGCTGGCCCCAGGGCAGATTTCTTATAGCAGTAGGAAATTAAGTATCAAAAAAGAAAGCACTCACTAAACAACAACTCTACCCTTAAACTCACAAACAAAAGATAATTTTTAAATGTCTCCATGCTCTTTTTAAGGCCATATTCATATTGTATATGATTTATATTTTTCTATGTACTACAAAATACACAGTTTAAATCTTCTGCCCCTGAAGATACTTTGGAAAAGCCATGACAGTATGGCCCAGATACTAGGAATCATGAACAAGAAAGGGAACTGAAGACCCTGTGACAGACCAGACTCCAGTCAATTCAAAGCTTTAAACCTTGAATTAGAGTTACCTACCTGAGCACCAGAAGTATCCAGTAAATGTGTGAGTAAAACAGAGACAAGTGCTGTACTAGGTCAGAGCCGCATTCAGAACACATCCAACACTGTGTTCATGCAGTAGACAAAGTAATAATAATAATCATCAGGGGTGGCTTCTTTAACAGGGAGAAAAATTTTCATTATATTACTAAAAAACTCTCAGTATTTAAAAACAAACAAACAAAACGACCTCCCTTCCCACCGCCCAAACTCCCTGGCCTGAAAGGGCCTGCCTCAAACAGGCTCCGACCAGTATCTTTCTAGTCTTCCTTCACATCGCCTCGGTTCGTCTTATCCATACCATAGTTGAGCCAGGCAGAATGACACACATTTGCAGAAATAACTAAAGTGCTCTCGTACCCTGGAAGTTTTACACCCAACACTCCCTTAGAATGCCCCCTAAGTCCCTATTTACATTCTACTCATCATCCAGCGCAAAGGCCGTGCATTCTCTGAAGCTCCCCCCAGCCCCAGGTGGCATCGCTTGTGGCCTGGCACAGCACTGAGCCTCTGCCCCTCACGCAGCCACAGCCACAGCCACAGCCACATTCTCTCTCATCAGTTTCCAGTATGATCGTCTGTGATCATATCACGAAGGTCTCTGATGCAGTTTCTTCCTACTTTACACATACAAGAAAGCAATAAACATTCCCTAAGGACAGTCTATTCAAAAACAGACCCAAAAATAAATAAATAGAACCACTGGGACAATCAGCATCCTCACTATGGAAATATCTCCTCAGTACCTGTGGTGTACAGGGGTAGTGGTGCACGAAAAGACTCACAAACCCTGCTCTCCCAAGAAAGTTGCAGTGTAGGAGATGAGAAGGACACTCATGTAAGCTACTATAATCCTAATAAATCAATGCCCCATGAGAAGTAAAGACAAATGCAATAGGGGTTGATAAAAAGGATGGAAAATCTCTAAGTAGAGACGGATACAAGGGTGAGTTCTAACACAGGTGCTGGGCCCTGTAGAGGCAGGAGTGAAGGGTGTGAGACGGGAAAGGCAGCCGTTGGAGCAGGACATCTTGGGAGGATACGGGGAATAATCAACAGTGTACCTGGAAGACGACGGGGACAGAGAAACCTTTCAAAGGTGGTCAGTGAGACTCTGACAGCCAAACAAGGAACTACAGCTTTAGTCTGTAAGTGATGGGGAACTGTTTCAAAGTTCCTGAGAGGGGGGCTGAGAAATAGTCAGAAGCACTAAAGCAGACTACAGTGGAAAAGATTGTGGACAAGCAGACAAGGGACTGGTACCAGTACACAAGAAACGGGCATTAAAGACCCAAACTGGAGACAGAGCACCAAAGATGGGAATGGCTGAACGGAAGGGATGGTTCAGAAGTGACACTGAAAGGACTTGGCAAGTTCTGGATGTCAAATGCAAAGAAGCGTCTGCAAAGAGGTCAAAGAGTATCTGGGCTAGGAGGAGGGTGGTGCCATGACCAAGATGGAGAACACCAAAGCAGCAGCCAGTCCGGATCCAGGGAGGAAACTGAGTGCTGAATTTCATTGGGGGACATAAAGGTGACAATATCACAAGTAAGATGCATTCCACTGCCATGCAGAATAAAACACTCAGCTTTGTGAAATAAGATAAGAGCTCACATTAATTAATTCTCAATGAAAGATTTGACCAATGATTCAGATATGACGGTAACCTAGAAACCATAACTCACATGGGTTACATCAAGTACCCAGCAAATTAAAATCTGAAAGCCCATTCTAGAAGGGGTCTTGTCATGGTCTGGAACCATCTTATCTAATCTAGAAGCATTTTAAAACATAGTGATTAGCAGTACATGAATGGGTGGAAGTCTGACAGAAACTTACTGTTAAAAATATTAAGGGGGCCAGTGCCGTGGCTCACTTGGTTAATCCTCCACCTGCGGTGCCAGCATCCCATATGGGCGCCGGGTTCTAGTCCTGGTTGCTCCTCTTCCAGTCCAGCTCTCTGCTGTGGCCCGGGAAGGCAGTGGAGGATGGCCCAGGTGCTTGGGCCCTGCACCCGCATGGGAGACCAGGAAGAAGTGCCTGGCTCCTGGCTTCGGATTGGTGCAGCGCCGGCCGTAGTGGCCATTTGGGGGGTGAACAACGGAAGGAAGACCTTTCTCTCTGCCTCTCTCTCTCACTACCTATATCTCTACCTGTCAAATAAAAAAAAAAAATCCTAAGGAGAAACACTTTTGTTAGAATGGTAAATGAACCTTTTGAGATCACGATCATGTGGCCCCAGTTCAATTATAACGCCACAAGAGGTGGCTGAGATAGATGATGGGGCCTGACTAAGAGGTACCAAGGAACACTAACTGGATCCTTCTAGGCATTCATTCCCTTTCTATAATAAACACTTCTCAATGAGCAAAGCTAGACTCTCCCTAGACTTATCCCCACCATATCCCTGGAATTCTCAAAAGTCTAGAAATAAATGATCATGAAGTCACTTTCAGAGAAAGGGGCAGAACAACCAAAGATAAGCTCATGAGGGTTATTACTATTCAGAAACCATATCTATTAAAATGAAAAAAATCTCACCAACATAAACTTCAAATGACAGTAAGATGAATGTCTAGCACATAATATAACATTAATGAATGTTCATTATATGGATACCAAATAAAAAAGTAAAACCAAACATCTGAATTGTGGCTAAATTGCCTAAGAGTATTAGATTTATTTATTCATTTATGGATTAGAATGAATAATGACATTCTCACCAGACACAAAATCATTACTTCAATTTAGGTCCAAATGGAAAAAATGAGAACTAAGTCTTTACTTATTAATGTTTTTACTAATGATGAGCAACAGCACAAAGAACAAACTGGACTGGTGCATATTTGCTTCACATATGACTATCACATCAACATGACACACTGATCAATTACTTGTTTAACTGTACCAAAAAGAAAAGATGCTTTTTTAAAGAAGAAGGAAAAAAAAAAACATACTGATGAATTTACAAGAAACATACTTACCAAGTCTCTGTGAAGCACCCAGTTTGCATGGAGGTAATGGATACCATCAAGAATCTGATAAAGTAATGATTTAACCATGGATCTTGGCAACTGCATGGGCTTTTTATTTGCTTTTGATGCACGGTGAAACTTAATAATATGCTAAAAATTAAAAAAAGTACAATAAATACAGTTTTTGCAAATACCTATGCCAATAAAACACAACCAAGGCTGTAATAAATACACTACATTTACATATTTATTTATCTACATTTGGAGAGGCAGAAAGACAGAGCTCCCACCTGCTGATTCATCCCCTCAGTGTCAGCAATGGCTGGGACTGTGCTGGGAACTCAATCCACGTCTCCCATATGGATGGCAGGAACTCAATTACTTAAGCCATTACTGCTCCTCTTAAGGTATGTATTGGTAAGATGTTGGAGTCAGTAGCTGGGTATGGAACTCAGATACTACACTGTAGGACAAGGGTATCTTAATCACTACATCAAATTCCTGCTCCAAAATACTCTATTATCTTTAAATCACTTAATAAAGACCAAAAATGATGCAAAAGAATAATAATCTGAAAAATAACATCAACCAAACTGAATCTATTTTGATGGTGGATGTGACCATATTAATCTGGGGTTATAATGATTAAATTTACTGAAATCAGTAAGATTTTCACCCAATAGAAGCAAAAGGTAAAAATGGTCGATACTTAAATAGCTGCCTAAGAATAGTCTTAGTGTTATTCTTTATGGAAAAAATGAAAGATTTTTAAAAAGAAAAAAACTGTAAATCTCCACTGCTCTATAAAAAAAAAATCAGCACTTAGTGCCTTTTTGTAAGATCACTCTGTCTATACTTGAATTACAGGTAATTTCCACCTTGTTTTGGCACAAAATAAACCAGGATATATTCCTGGGAGTTAATGCCAAGTAGGAAATCACTAGAAAGGGAGAAAAGAGAGACAAATAGAGAACTACATTCCACTGAAATAAATACAACAGGATCACCATATTTAAATACTTATATCCATATGTTATATTGTGGGTTATTAAAAAAAAAACAAACACTGAAATGGAAGAAATCCTACCAGCCTCCTGCTAACTCTCTACCTCCACCTCTTTCCCTACCCCACTCCAACCCACCCTCTCTAAAACATGCCAAAATGATGCTGAGAATCATTTAAAACCCTATTAAGAGGTGAGTATTTGGCCAAGTGGTTGAGATGCCCATATCCTGTACCAGAGTGACTGGGTTTAACACCGGGCTCCAACTCCTGACTCGAACTTCCCCCTTTTTATTTATTTATTTATTTATTTATTTATTTTTATTTATTTATTTATTTTTTTGATAGGCAGAGTGGACAGTGAGAGAGAGAGACAGAGAGAAAGGTCTTCCTTTTGCCGTTGGTTCACCCTCCAATGGCCGCCGCGGCTGGCGCACCGCGCTGATCCGATGGCAGGAGCCAGGAGCCAGGTGCTTTTCCTGGTCTCCCATGGGGTGCAGGGCCCAAGCACCTGGGCCATCCTCAGCTGCACTCCCTGGCCACAGCAGAGAGCTGGCCTGGAAGAGGGGCAGCCGGGACAGAATCCGGCGCCCCAACCGGGACTAGAACCCGGTGTGCCGGCGCCGCTAGGCAGAGGATTAGCCTAGTGAGCCGCGGCGCGGGCCAGAACTTCCTCTTAATACATACCGTGGGGGATAGCAATGACGGCTCAAATAATTATTTTCTCCTACCTATGAGGAAGACACAGACTGAGTTTCCAGCTCCTGTTTTTGGTCTCTGCCCAACTCCAGCCTTTGTGGACATTTGGGGAGTGAGCCAACAGACAGGAGCTTTCTCTGCTTCTGTCTCTCTGCCTCTCAAGCAAATATAAATTTTATAAAATGAAAAAAGGCCGGTGCCCAGCTCAATAGGCTAATCCTCTACCTTGCGGCGCCGGCACACCAGGTTCTAGTCCCAGTCGGGGTGCCGGATTCTGTCCCGGTTGCCCCTCTTCCAGGCCAGCTCTCTGCTGTGGCCAGGGAGTGCAGTGGAGGATGGCCCAAGTCCTTGGGCCCTGCACCCCATGGGAGACCAGGATAAGTACCTGGCTCCTGCCTTCGGATCAGCGCGGTGCGCCGGCCGCAGCACACCGGCTGCGGCGGCCATTGGAGGGTGAACCAACAGCAAAAGGAAGACCTTTCTCTCTGTCTCTCTCTCTCACTGTCCACTCTGCCTGTCAAAAATATTTTTTAAAAAAATGAAAAATAAAACTCTATTCAAAAACCAATGAAGTTGTCAACAGTGCTCCACTAACTTTATAAATGACCAGATGGCGTGTAAAATTATTAAGCTATTTATACATCTTTCTTATTGTCTAAACTGCTCAATAACATTCACTTGGTTTTAAGAAATAGAAAACTAGAATTTAAACCATGGTAGTGATTTGCAATGGAAATACAATGGGAGACTCACTCCCACACATAACTTTCAACAGCAACATTTTTAAGAGGAAACAGGTAAAATTAATGTGTGCATCCTATTAGACAGTACAGTTCTACAGGATCTGACTGGTCCTGTGCCCAGCATCTTCCTTCACATCCCTGACGTGCAAAGGGAAAGGCACACATTATCAATGAAGCCTTGCCAGAAATACAGGAGAATATAGAAGACTTGGGCACATATAATTATACATATAGTTGAGAGGTTCTTGTCAACATTGGCTATAATAGCATGAACCCTCAAAGTTCCTTCAAGACCTATGAGCTTGTTAAAACTATTCCTAAATGGACTTATAATTTATATAGAAGATAAACCACATATTTCAAATCAAAACTGCAATCCATAATTTTAACTTCCTGCCAAATTTAAGTACTTTTACTTCTCAAACAAAATGTTTAAATGCCATGATTTCTAATTTTAAAAGCTTGGAATTCTAACTTTTTCCTCCTTTCATATACTGATAAAACATCCTTAAGATGTGTAAAACCAAGCATTTATTTCTATTCGATACAGCCAATTTTAGGTGGCAAAATGATCTAACACTTAGAACTGGTCACAAGTAGAAACCTGCTTAAACATGGACTACTGTATCAAAAGAGAAAGTAACTGTCACTATACACACTAGTAGACTTCCACTAATTATCTGCACAAAATTATAATCTCTTACTCTATTATAAGTTTTCTGAAATGACATGTCTGATTACTGCAAATACCACCTTCTCCATGATTCATTAGTTTACGCTCAAATCCCTTACAATCAAAATTCAGGTTTATTGTCTTTTGTACACGGTTAACAGAACTTTCCTTTCTACTCATTAGCAATATGGATCAGATACAAACAGGTTCTGTACCTATAAAAAATTATCCAAATAAGAACAGTGTGTAGACTTACCCACAAGTCATGCTCTGCATAATCAAAAAGCAGCCACACCTTCCTGTCACTGTGGGAAAGGAACACCTTCTGCAGTGCGATCACATTGGGGTGCTTCAGTTCCCGCAGAAGCTGAATCGCAGGAGAAAGAGAAGGGGAATGATGAATTTCTTACAACTTCAAAATCAAATTTTTGAAAATTCAGAAAAATCCAGATAGGCAAAATGAAAGACACCAATACCACCCAACATACGACTACACAGAGATAAGCTCTCACAACAGCAAGGTGCGTATCTACTGATCATTTTCTCGTGTCTATGCTTTCATTTTGTAATATATTTATTTTTTAATTGACACATGGTAAATGTACCTATTTACGGGGTATTTCAATCCATGTATATAGTGTATACTGATCACATCAAGGTAACTCACATAACTATCCTCCCAGACATACATCATTTCTTTGTGTTGGGAACATTCAAAATCCTCTGTTAGCTATTTTACAATATATAATTAACTGCTGTCATAGTTATCCTGCTGTGCTAGAGAACATTGGAAGCTATTCCTCCCAAGCAGCTGCACCCCGGACTCATTAACACCCTCTCTCTATTCCCCCTCCCCCCCATACCCTTCTGGGCTCCAGTAGCCACTAATCTATTCTCTACTTCTTCGAGATCAACTTTTTAGCTTCTAAATGTAAGTGACAACAAGCAGTTTTGTCTTGCTCTCCTGATTTATTTCATTTAATGTAATTTCTCCAGCTCCATCTATGCAGCTACAGTGACAGAACTTTGTTCATTTTTATGGTTGAATAATACTCCACTGTGGATATATTTTTGTGTGTGTTTTAAAAATGGGATCATGGGGTGGCCAATGTGGTACAGTGGGTTAACCCACACCTTGAGACACCCGCATCTGATATCAGAGTGCCAGTTACAGTTCCAGCTACCCTGTTTACAATTCAGCTTTCTACTAATCCAGCACTGATGCCTGGAAGGCAGCAAATGAAGCCCCAAGTACTTAGGTACCTGCCACCCACTTAGGAGACCCAGATGCAGTTCTGGTTCCTGGCTTTGGCCTGGCTCAGCTCTTAACTGTTGTGAGCATTTGGGGAACAAACCATCAGATGGAAGGTCTTTCAAATAAAATGAAAATAAATACTTTTTAAAATGAAGAGGGGATATTTAACAATCCCTGCATTTATCCATCTGGTTGAGGCTTTTTAAAGCTGCTGACAACCATTAAGAGTAAAGCAGAGGTCCTCAGAAGAAAAGAATGGGCCTTCACAAAGAACAAGCTTGTTGGGCTAGACTCTGACGAGGAGGAAGAAAGATCCAGAAGATCAGCAAGTGAAAACTTAGCACTTGGCACAGAATGGACAGCTACTTGATAAAATATTTAGCAACAACGACATTAACTGCTCAAGGAAAAAGCTTTATAAATATGTCTGCCTCAGGCATCCTTAGTCAGGGTACAGATTTACCAGGTAAAGAGAAGCATACTCAATTTGACAAATATTTTGTGTATTACGTCTTTTAAATGTGAAGATCTATGGAAGATACAAAAAGAGAACTTCTGCTGAAAATTTTCTACATGCGAGATGATTCTAGACAAATATTTTTCTCCCATTTGACCCTGGTGTCACTCTATGATGTGTGTACACAGACCCTGAGGTTCAGTGTGATAAAGATAACTTGGCCAATGTCAAACAGCCAGAAAGAGAAGTTCTGGGCTTAAACACATTCACCTAATTCCGAAGCCCACACTTCTTCCACTACAGCTGAAGTCCTTGTCGTGGGTTCCCACAACAGTTAGGAAGACAGACACATAAATGGACCACTGGAGAGAGAAAAGCAAATTGCCTGCACGTTCTGTTCACTTTAAATGAGTCAAGTGTACTTTGAGTGCCTGTGCTGGAATCAAGGAACAGCCACCTGAACTCCAGCTATGGATTTGCGGCGCCAGCATACCAGGTTCTAGTCCCGGTCAGGGCGCCGGATTCTGTCCCGGTTGCCCCTCTTCCAGGCCAGCTCTCTGCTGTGGCCAGGGAGTACAGTGGAGGATGGCCTAAGAGCTTGAGCCCTGCACCCCATGGGAGACCAGAATAAGCACCTGGCTCCTGCCTTCGGATCAGTGCGGTGCGCCGGCCACAGCGTGCTGGCCTCAGCGGCCATTGGAGGGTGAACGGCAAAGGAAGACCTTTCTCTCTGTCTCTCTCTCTCACTGTCCACTCTGCCTGCCAAAAAAAAAAAAAAAAAAAAAAAAGAAGAAGAAGAAGAAGAAGTGGAGCAGCCACCAGCGTCCATATGGGTTGCTGGCACTGCAGGCAGCAGCTTAACCCACTATGCCACAGCGCTGGCCTCCAGTGCTGCATTGCTTTCAATGATCTCACTGCCATGGGCAGCCAGAAGCAGCTGCTCAGAGGCTCGGAGGCTTCAACCCCAGACACAGTGACTCGTTTCTCTCTATCTCACTCCTTGGGATTAATGACCTTAAAGAGTTTGCCTTTACTAAGTCTCTACCAGAAATATGTTCTCTTTGCCACCTGATATAACTGAGAGAAACTCCGCTTCTGCATCTAAACCCAGCTACTGAAGCACCAAACACTAGGACAGACCCCTGAGACCTGGGCCTCCCTTGTCTAGGAGAGGGGATGTCAGTCACATGGAGCAATCTTTAATCAACACCTTAAAATCATATGCTCTGTGACTATAAATTATTGATCTCTCTACAGTAAATACATTTTAAATCCTATGTTAAAAAATTATTTTGAAAGTGAATATGTTTACATGGTTCAAAAGCCAAAAGTACACCCAGGAATACATATTGAGATGTTCCATCACCACTCCTCTTGCCTCCTGGAGGTGACAGCTTTTATTAGCTGCTTATTAATCTTTCCATTCTTTATATAAATATAAGCAATTATGAATGCTTTTGTCCTCCCTTATTTATCCAAAACACAGCATAATTTACAGACTGCACTGCAACTTTTTTGTTTTCTTCTCACACTTTATCTTGAAAATTTTGTAATGTCAGCATAGTATAATATATAGAAATTTTTCTTGCCCTTTTTTATAGCTACTTGGAATTTCTAGGTCATCCTTTTATTGTGGTAAACTATATATAACATAAAGCTTACTGCACCTTTATTTTTTTTTTGCAAGTACTGTCACTATCAAACATACTACAGCTCTGTCTCCCTTACCTAAAATTCTAAAGAGCTCAGATAATCAAAGCTTTCTAGTAACTCATGTAGGAAAAAGACATACTCTGATGGGGAAAATGCATTGTCAAAGATACATCCTTTCAGTTATCTTATTCTGATTCTATGGGAGATATTTTCAATACTATACATTATGTATATACATATACACATATATACATGTGTGTACATATATAAATATATAATTATATACACACATATATATACACATACATACACACATACACACATATAAAGGAAGAGACAGAGAGATCCATCACACACACACACACACACACACACACACACACACACATATAAAGGAAGAAACAGAGAGATCCATTGGTTCACTCTCCAAATGCCCAAAACAACTGAAGACTGAGCCAAACTGAAGTCAGGAGCCCAGAACTCAATCCAGGTTTCTCATGGATAGCAGGAACCCAACTGAGCCATCATCGCTGCCTCCCAGGGAGTACATTAGCAGGAAGCTGAAACTGGAACTGTAGCCAGGACTCAAATCCAGCACTCCAATACGGGCCGTTGGTGTCCAGAGCAGTGATTTATCTGCTATACCATAACCCAACCCAGCACTGAACATTACACATAACTGACAGCACTTCAGAGTAACTCTTGGCTACCGGCACACAGGTTCTCTGTTGTCCAACAGAGGTTTCCCTATCATATAGTAAACTAGTTTCACCTCAATTCATTTCAATATTCCTGACCTACAAGTGTGTCCATTCTAAAGATTCTCTTTTGAGTGGGTTATGCTGTTAGCTTGGTTCCTTCATTTAATAAGAAAATATAGAAAATGGTTTATTTTATATATGTATTATAGTCATAATTTTACCTGAAAACTATCATTAATTCTCATTATACATAAATATCCCACTTTAGGATGGCACAGCAGTTAAGACACCCCTTGTGCCACCTGCATCCCCTATCAGATTGCTTAGGTTCAAGTCCCAGCTGTGCTCCCAATCCTAGCTTCATGCTACCGTGCACCCTGGAAAGCAGCAAGTGTTGCCTCAGTTGGGTCACTGCCACCCAAGTAGGAGACCTGGATTGTGTTCCCAGTTCCTGACTTCCACCTAGCCCAACCCCAGCTGTTGCAGACATTTAGGGAGTGAATCAGCAGATGAGAGATCGATTTTTCTCTCTCTCGCTGCCTTTCAAATAAAAATTTTCTTTAAATTCCACTTTAACTAACATGAAGCTGTTTATCCGCTATTTATGGTTTGCCTCTCTCAACAGGTAAGCTCCATGAAGGCAGAGTTTTCTTGATTTTATATCCCTAGTGTTCATAACAGTACCTAACACATAATAAACAAGCAACAAAAACTTGTCAAGTGAATTAGATCTACTGAGTTTACCTGGTTCTCACTTACAAAATAAACCAGTAAATGGATGATAACATTATAAAAATCTGCTACCCTCTCTTAAATTATCCCCTTTAAAAAGGTATTTTGAACAACTTTGCTTTTAACAGAGTAGACTACACCTGAAACCGTTATTCAACGATACTAAACCCTTTGCAAGCCTCAGTCAGCACCCACTCTACTAGAAATGTAAGTGTGCTGGCTGAATGTAAGAAGCAGAAGCAGCCCTGAATATCTCAGGGTGGTATTTAGCCTGGTGCGTAACTTGAAAAACAAAGGAGTGTGGTGGGGGAGTTTCCTGAAAGAGCTGTGAATGCAATAAAATTTTACAAAATCCTAAAGAAATGATGCATAGGAACTGAGAACAAAGTGGGACACAGCTGATGAATTCAATCTCACAACAAAAGCCTAGGCTACTGACAAATGCTAGGACCTAGGTAAGTATCACACAAGACCATAGTATTCACCATCCCTATTTATGGAAATAAGCAATGTAAACTCTGCTGTCTCTCTGCACTAAAAGGAACAAATGAATAACAACAATAAGCAAC